ATCAGCTTATGAAACTAGACCAGGGCTACTAGGCTGTGGCCCATTGAGTACTGGCCTGTGCAAGCAGTGTGTGTGCATGTGGGGGTGTTTTTCACAAATGGCAGGTATATGCAGAAAACAATCCCCCCCCCCCCAAAATGGATTATCTCAAATCTTTTCAGTTGTGTTTTGGATTGGAATACAGGTAGTTACGATAGGAATAGGGCCTGGAACAGTCATTGCTAAGTGATGCAGGGCATGTTGGCAGTCATGATAACATTACGGCAGCTTGCTACAACAACCAGAACTCAGGACCTATCAGAAGTCTCCCCTGGGCAAGTTTGAAAAGTCACTGAATAAGTGGTTGTAAGCTAAGGACCACCTGTCTTAGCTGAAACAGCACTGATCATGCTTTTCAGTTATTTCTATTGGAGCTGGGAACGGGGTGGCGCGAGGACCTTAATTCTTGATTGCTGAAGACTCTTCAAGGGCTTTAACTATAGATCGAGGTATCTTCTGGACCACCTGCAGGTATAAGGTATAAGAGACACTGGTACATGGGTTCTCCTTTCTTCATGGTTGCTTTCAGATGTAGTTGGAAGTCAGAAATTGGGCTTAACGCCCCTGAGAAATACACTGCCATAAGGCTAGAAACTCTTGCCCCTTCTGTTTGAAATCAGTATGAATCTCCTGGATAAGATCGTCTGCCATTTGGGGATTGGGTCTAACCAGTATGCTGATAATACACGTCATGTAGGATTTTTGGTATGATACAAAGGTGGTTTGTCATTGTCATCTTTTAGATCTATCTGTTAGGTAGATGTTGATTGTGCAATTTATCTTTTGTCTGTTTTCAATATTTGCTCCCTAGTAAGCATGTTGAAGAACCTATTCTTAAAGTTTCTAACTGATATAATTTGATCCCTGACAAATATAAGCTACTCATAAGATCTCACTTTTTCTTAATTTTCAGATAAAGGCTGGGAATGGTTTATATGTGAAGGTTTTCAGTATATTCTTCGAAAACAAGCTGAGGCTCTACAATCTTTAGGAGTTTCTTCTCAGATTAAGGTATTTTGCTGTTTTCAGTAATGAAATTAATCACGGTTTGCTTAAGCATTTGAAAAACAAAGTACTTTTATGGGTTTACACAGTCTGCTAGACTATGGCTAGTTTCCTGCAACATACACTAAGCAAACCGAAACATAAAAAGCCCAGGTTTTTTTTTATATATAATATGGAATCTTGATTTAGAATAAGAAGGAAAAATCTCCCAAATATCTGTTATGTGCATTTCAAGTAAGTGATATCCTGTAGGAACGCTTTATGTGAAGGATAAAGTTTTCTAAAAGTTTTTGGTTTGTATTATTATTATTATTATTTGACGTTTGGGGTGTAATAGCATTTATTTATTATTAAATTTGGACATTGTCCAACTTACAGAAAACTCTGGGCAGCTTACAATAAAAACAGAAAGATCAGTCAATAAAAAAAGCATCCATGCCTGAAAAAATAAATAACTAAGCAGACACCAAACAGACAATACAATACAATAATATTTATTTGGTCAGGTTCTGAGAAGACTCAGTTTAATTGATTGGACCTGCAATGTATGTACTCTGGTTGAGCTCACTGGGCAGTCAGAAATTATCCGACACAGATCGACTCTCAAATAAACAGGCCAGGCCCATGAATTGAACCCAGAAGCCAGCTCGCAGCCAGTGCTGTTCCTGAAGCAGAGTTGATATGTAACCAGAACATAACATGTCCATTGCTGTCTGCGCCATCACATTCTGGGCCAGCTGTAAAGTGGTTTTCCAGGGCAGCCCCATGTAGAGTAATCTGTTTTAGTGATGGAGTTCAGATTTCAGATTTAGTTTATTTGTATGCCGCCCTTCTCCGGGAGGGACTCAGGGCGGCGAACAACTCAGAAGGGAAAAAGGGGACACAAACACAATACACGTAATTAAAATACACAAGAGTCATACAGCCATACAAGTCGAGNTCCTTGGGAGAAGGGCGGCATATAAATCTAATAAACCTAAACCTAAATGCAGAAAACTTGCCAAGCACCCGAAATGCAGTCACATTATTGGGGGAGGGCAACACAACATCTTGGATCCAACAGCCCTTAGCAATAGCAATAGCAGTTGTGGGGAGGAGTTAGGAGGCAATCAAAAGAGGAAGATGTGAAATTGACTAGATTTGTCTCCTTCCAGTCAAAAGCACAATGGCAAGTCACATGATTTCCTACTTAGTGACCACTTTGCTTAGTGACAGAGTTGCTGTCCCAATTAGGGTTGTTAAGCAAGGACTACCTGTGTTGACATGAGCTTAATAACTCAAAGAAAATAATGTGCCTTTTTTACTCTTTACATCTATGTATCAGTTGGTATAGATGTAAGGGTGTCTTAAAATATTCTACAACTAATTTACACTTCCTATGTATAAAATGTTTATTCCATTTTTTTGGTAATCTTATTTGATGTCTTTAATTTTTCTAATGCATAGCTTTGGTTGAATTGTTGATAGTACATTTTTGTGATTTTTGTTCTATTTCTACTCGCATCTGCTAAGAAAATCAGTAAAAAGCAAGCAACTCATGGACCGTTTTAGTTTTTACGGAAATCATTCTGTATTGATATCTTGCTTAGCAAATTAAAGTTTTTGAATGATAAGGCTTGATTTAATAAAGAAGAAAGAATCCCTTTGAATTCTAGATTAACAATCTTCTTATTCAACTATTTTTTAAACAGCACACAGACACTGAGACAGAAGTTGAAAGTACTAGCCCGATTAAGTTGGTTTCTTCAAGAAGTGATATAGATGTGATATCAGAATTTAGCGCAGCTGCTTCTTCTTCTGTTAGTAAAGCTTCAGGTAAGAGCAAATGTACCCCATTTAGTTCCTTGTGTAGTTATTTGAGGTACGAAAACATATTTCTATTTGATTGCTTTGGAGATTTAAGCAAACAGTCTTCATATCTATGTAGAAAAATTATAGACAACACGATCTAAGAATCCTAAGAAGAATGGGGGAACAAACACATTATACAGAAACAATTTTTTGATTGCCAGGCTGGCAATTCCTGTACGTTGCAGAAAGCTCCAGGAAAACGAGGTGCACCTC